ATTAGAAAAAGGGGAGCCACCTGATGGAATCCCACTGGCCAGTACCGGGGACGGTGCTTAAAAGAGAAGAGGGCCGTGCAATATATACTAGTTTAAGTGGACTTCTAGAGGTGAGAGCGGGAACCAATTTGGAAAGTGAATCACGTGCGTGAAGCCAGCGAGGTGTCTCCCTCCCATTGATATCTCCTATTCGCCTCATCTGCATCCCATTCCCCATCCAACCAACTCTCTTGTAGTTCGAGGTTCAAGGACGGGCAGCTCTTACACAGTATACGGAAAATACCGGGAATAGGAGACATAGGTGAGCCGAATGTCAGACATTACCCGAATGGGGAAACCTCACGATCCTCACGCGCTGGATTCGCGATCGAATTGACTTCTGGCCTCTCCCCTATAAGGGCAACCTTAAACACTAGTATATATAACACAGCCTCCCTTCTCTTTCAGGCACTGTCCTCGGTGCTGTCCAATAGTGTTACGTCAGGTGGCTTCCCTTCTTCTGTCAACTTATAGACTTCGCCTTCATAACCACTGGGGGAGGCGAACCCGCATATGGCCTAATCTTGCTATGGTGCGCTGTTAGAAACTGAGTGCCGATCTCCGCATTCCAGATGCGGTAGTTCGTGGGTGACAGGATTTTGATTATTAGGTAGAGTAATTTGCTCAAAATTTGGTAGTCTTTCTGGCGGGTTCCTGGTGGAGGAATTGGTTTATAAAGTTGCACCAGATCTCCCTCGTTATTGATGCTTCTTCGGCTCTTCAGCATATGCTGAATGCATATGCCTTCCTGAGGCTTTCCTTTAGCCATAAGCCATGCTGTGGCGCGTTATTTACTGTGGCTTTCTTACGAGGAAACGAAATGTCGGAAGGATCTCTCATTTTACTGCTCGTGAGCATCTTGAAAGGCAAGACTCCAGTCAAGGTGTGGACGGAGGCTCGGTAGGCGAGGAGGGCGCATTCTAGGTGTAAATCCTGATCCCCGGGCTGCATTCCCTTAGTAAAGACCTTCATTAAGTCCACAAGAGTACGACTTGTCCTTTCTAACTTGTCCAGTGCCTTGAGGTTGACCTGGAGTCGTTTGCGTTTTACCGATTCCAAAGGCTTTGCACAGCTCTTTGAAGAGACGACTCTCAAAATTCGCCTCATGGGCGCTATGTACGGAATCAGGCACACCATGATGGTGGATCCAGAGATTGAAGAATCTGGTTGTCAGTGTCTTAGCATCCTGCGCCTGTAAGGATCCAGCTTTCGCGACTTTGGTGAAACAGTCTATCATCACCAAAATATAACGGTTTCCTTCGGATTTATTCTGCTGCATATTTTTAATGCTACTTTAGCGTTGCAATGCTTCCAACCGAGTAGAAAAAGGCATTAAGTTGATTTTCAGGAGAAATGGGGAAGTAAATGGACTTTGGCCTGAACCGAAGGTGAGTCCGAGGGTACGAGAGTAGGCCACACCAAAGTAACAGACATACATGTGGTCAGATTTACACAGCAGTGTAAGTAGGCGCACGGATCCTGCCAAATCCTTTTTCATAACAAACACTATCCATATTTTAGGCCTTACATGAACTTGTTTATCGTGAAGTTTTTGCATAGTTGTGAAAATGGTCGACTTTAAATGTTGTACTTTGATCACTGTGAACGTATTCAGACACTGGCATTGCTGACAAATTCAGCAGTTGAGGACGATTGCGTCTACTGTGGGAGATCATACCTGAGCTTCATTTGGGAAGCAGTCTACCATAAATAGAATGTATCAGTTTCATCGCTCGCTGATTTAAAATGAGCCCATGACGTCTGTGCTTTTGTTATTCCTCTCCCAACTGCCCTAGGGATAGGCTAAAATGGTGTGGATGTTGTATGGCGGGATGGCTTGAGAATGGAGGTATGATTAAAATCGGAAATGCCTGAGCTCTAAGGAACCTCTATTACATTAACCCTACACCTCTGACATCCCTTTCGCACATAACCCAGAAACTCTTAGTGCTCCAGTTGGACTAATGAGCCGAAGAAAACCGAGGGCGCGAGAGACACGCCACCGTCTTAGAACTACAAGAATCCACCTGCTAAAAGGAGTTATAAATTTTTTGCCAAGTATGCTTCTCTTCCTACGCCTCCGATGCCGCTGTGAATGCCTACACAAAACTTGTATATCTACTGTAATGTCATTTCTTTCTGCTGACATGGACATGCTAGATAGCGTATCCTCATTGCCATCTGTACTGCCACTTCTGTGCTGAGCTGCCGACTTCTGTCATTTCGGCTCTTTGCAGCAGTCTGGAACTGACCTGTTCACATTCTTTATTGTCTTTAACCAAGCCGAGGTCTGGTGGTCTGTACTCGCCTGTATTGCTAACAGGTAATGCTTGAAGCGTCCAACTCTTGCGCACATCACGTTGTATGGAACTCATTCAATATTGTTTCCTATCTACGGGAACGACTTCCAATATTAAAATTAGTTGATTCTATTGTACCAGAAGAAGATCCTCTGGCAGAAATTATGCCCATTGTACCGGAAATTGAACCTGATAAACCCCATCCCCTTCAACCGCATAAATCTGATCCCGAACCTGATAAACCGCATCCCCCTAAACCCGATCCCCCTAAAATAGCGCATGATGAATTGTAACTACACTTCGAAAATAAAATTTATTCATACAAAAAGTCCTTTGTCTTTTTTCTTATTCCTCTTCGTCGGGCTTCAAAATGAAACAAATCGGATTTGAAAATAAAATGGCCGCTCGCTTTATCATATCTTTTAGTTATTTCCTTCTTCTTCTTCTTCCTTTTCTGTTGGCACTGAGCTAGCGGAGGCAACGGCGCGTTCACTCCTGTTTACAGCCCTCATGCAAAAATTTACCTCCCACGGCTCCGTCACTTGGGTCTACAAACAGTGCAAAGGATAGAGCTTTGGCTCCAAGGCTCGTTTAGGCTAGAAGTGACAGTGAAGAGAGTTATCATTTTAGTTCTTTGAATGGTTCGTTATCCTCTATTTGCCACTGGAAATTCTTTTCCACTTTTCCGTAGGCTAAATTGTGCGATGGGTCGACGGACCTTTACAAAGCTTTTAACGAAGCGTCTGTAGTGGTGCTCCGATTGGTTGGTTAGTGGTGATCAAATTCGCACCTGCTTTTCTTCAGAATTAGGCTTGGTCACGCTTCTATAAGGGGGCCAAACACCAGTTACAAACTCGTGTCTTACATATCTCCTCCAGAGACGCAGATGTGTTGAATTATGATATCCGCTACTTCGCGAGTCTTAATTAGGAAGTCACAGCTTAACAGAGTCAAAATAGTATTGACTGGGAGTATTTGAGTCCGTTTGGTACTATGAAATTCGTTTCTCTCCATCTTTCGCTGCCACTTCTACCTCTCATCATCCGGACCTTAGATCTAACGTAGTTAATCACTGTGATCCATGTCAAGGGTTTACCAAATGTTTGTCACTGCATTCATTATCCTGCAGTGTGATTGGAGAGGCCTAGAATGACTTTGATAGCAATATGACCTCATCGCAAAGCAGCTCGTCAATCAGGCGTTGCATGTCTCCTTCTTCGGAGGTCGCGGTGGGCGTCTTCGCCGTATCGATCGCAGGCTTAGCGATGAGAGCCTGTCCGTGAGCAATGCTCATCCCTCTCGCGATCGGTTGCAACAACCACGTTAGCTTTGGGTCTTTTTTGAGTAAAATGCAGTGCCTTCAGCCAATCTTAGGACCGTTTTGGCTTTACATAGGAAATCAGTGCCTTCTATCACATCGCAGTGCAAACCTCACTGTCAAGGTTTGCTTCTCTACTACGACTTTTAACGCGGTCTCTTCCTTCACTGCGGTGTCCTTTCCTTCTGTGGAAAGTAAAATCTTGCGGACAAGTAAGGGTCGACGTTGCGCGTCAAGTCTTTCGTTTTATTCAAGACGCTTATAAGTGCATTGGAACAACACGGTAAAGAAATGCAGAAATAGGCGAAGTCTGTTTTACCAGATTGAGGGGAGGAGTTCAGCAGTGTCCATTATGGTTTGGACTTCTAGAAGGGGGATCTTAGTCGATATACCTATCGCTAAATGACAGCTAACTTGACTCGAAGGCAAACGCTAGTGGTTCCCCTAACTTTCCTCTATCAGCGTTAGTGGGTGGAATCCCGTTTGAAGCCAAACAACCATCCAGATGAGGAACCTCTCAGGCTGAAAGGCTGTAGATTCCTATCGCAATCTTTTTCATTATCAATGGATTTCTGGCAGGGAAAGACGAATTTCCTAGCGGACTAGCTATGCTAAAGGTTCACAGCTAAAGCCATTCGAGACTGTGATATCTAACGCTATCAACACAATAAGTGAGAAAGGCGGAGGCGAATGACAGACGATCTAAACTCCTTTAGTACAAGTTACGGCTAAAATCACATAGCGTGACCCAATCCTTAAAAGTTCTATCACCTTTGAAAAAGGGAATGTTCGCTCATAAGATTAGCATTTTACCCCTCGTCTTACGATGTAGGCCTTCATGTTCGCTGTAAACTTATCAACATTTCGATGTGGCTGACATTGCAGCCGCTTCCATAGCAAAGTCGTAACCCTTTCGAGGTTAATTACAGCCTCTCTCTTCATTCGCAAAGACGCGACAAGTTCTAGCGTGTAGACTGCAGCGGGGTGATGAGTTCGCACGGCCACATTTGCAGGTGAACCTGTTCAATCACGTTGTGCTACATCCTTCAGTACTTTGTCAACATTTTCCTCTTAGCACGCCTCCAACAACAAGTCACATCTTAGTGCAAGCATTCTGTAGTACTGTTGACTGAGTTTCATTCGTCTCGCAAGCACTTCGGTACGCAGTAAAGATGAGGAGCTTTCCTAAGAAAAGACCTCAAGGTGTTTGCTGATTGGTCAGCGGAAGGGATTGAAAGTCACGCCGTGAATGGCTGTAGCAAAAGTGCACACACATCATGAACATCAAAGTCCTTCGTCATTTAGGCACCAATTCGCATCTAAATCGGATTGGAACTTTCTCGATGATGGAGAGCGTTGACGAGAAAGGCGGCCAAGTCGTCTCGATTAAGGAAACCCAAGTTGGCAAGCTCGACTCAGTCTCACATACCATTGAAGTCGAACCCAAATCCAAAATCCCAAAACTGATGAAACAGGATACCGGTAAAAATGCTTCATCGCATTCCTTACTTCCTACTTTTGAGGAGGAGGAGGAGAAGGAAAACAATTGTTTGTACCGATCCAGAGCCATAGCTAAAGCTGGGATGCTTCAAGCTAAGACAGTTGTGAACGCTCCAAGTTTCGCAGATTTGTTAATCTACGCTCAGGAGGTGCTGATGCTCACAGCAGAACTTAATCAGCTCGGTGTTGCACTTCTGCAAGCCCTATTGTTGAAGCAGAAGGACAAGACGGTAGAAATTTATGAGAAGTGTGATTGTGGACTGCGAGAACTAGCAACGATGATTAAACTCGTGAACAGATGCGAGGGTCGCCAGAAGGCACGGGCTATTTTCACTGAAAATGAGCTGTATAGCAATATACCGGATGTGAGCATTGAACCTCCGGAGTATTGTATTATTGTGGGTGCTTCTCCAATTGAGTAGGAAGCAGGAATCGCTATCTCTCCCTCTCCCTTTTACCCCTCCCCTTATCTCCCCCGTCCCCCACTCTCTGTGCCACGCTATTTGGATTCATATCTTATTCATTATTGAATATTAACTCTAAAGAGGCATTTTTAAGCAAGAAATCGTATCTATTCTGGATATGAATACTGTGAGAATGTGAAGGTTAGTTGAAACACGATTCACTTCAGTGGTGCGGATTAAAATTAGAAATCAGTAAAAGTTTCACTCGCGGATGCATCTAAGGCGAATACTACTTAAATGCCATTCAAATAAGGAAAGCGTGTGAGTGTGGCTCTATACACTCAGTTAGCACTTATTAAGCAGTATTGGCGTGGGAAAGATTGCTTTTATGTCTTTTCAAAGCTCCGCAACCGTTTGTACTGGGCTGACGCATTTTAAAGCGAAATAAGGTAACGAACTAAAGGTCTGGAAAAGCGTTCAACTCCTAAAGTAGAAACGGTGCTGTTAGAGATGAAATGCAACCAACTGTTTGTCTGCTAGGGACATCAAGCATCGAGATGATGTAGAGTAGTTGTGGTACATGGTGTATATAAATGTGTCTTAAATTACTTATCCTTGAAAAAGGAAATAATCAAACAGCTCGAAGCTTATCTGTAAGGCTTCATTTGATGTGTAGGGAGGAGTGCAGTTTCTTTAGGCGACTTTTGTCCGTTGAAAGGGATTCATATGAGGAATGACAGCCTCATGTATGGTGGAAGCAATAAACGGATAGCAAATCAGAGCTGCTTCGAAAAATTAGCTTGGACAAGGTCTGATCCCCCAAACAAAACATATCCGTGAGAGTGGGATGTAAATGAACGGCCTAAGCCTTATGGTCGAAGGTAGAAGAAAATGCTGAAAGAGAGGATGAAGGGGACAAACACTACAAATTTCGGTGCCTTGACAACGCCACTAAGGTGAGTGGATAAAACTAAGATGAGGGATTGAATGTCTTCGAATCTTGCTCGGTCAACAAAAGAGCCGACTTATTTTTAGACCAGATCAAAATCTTCTCCGATGAGGTGCCTCTAAAAAGCAAGCGTCTCCAAACCATGCGGTGGGACACACTGGCAACAGAGGTTAACTTTTGCCGACCAAAAATCTGAACACATAACGACATGATCGAAGGAAATTCTGTTAGAAAGTAAATTATATATATATGAGTAAAATTTTTGTTTCACCTCTATTAGCCAATGAACAATGCACAAAGCGTTCCAATTGAGATGAATTTTATGCTTATGCTCTCGAACATTCGAGTCGTTGAAAGGAAAAAGCGATGAAATCCCCTAAAAAAACACAATGGAATGACGAATTGGAATCCAAGGTGCGGTGGGGAGAAATATAAGTGCGTATTGTTTAATAACTAGGCTTCGAAAATATGATCTCCAATAGCAGCTGTAAAGTGGAATTGAGGGGAAAATCCACCTGACTACGTTGGGAATGGTTTGGGTCCTCCTTCAT